CAGTGTTCAATACCATTATTGTTGCTTCAATAATCGGAAGCCGTAAGTTGCCTGTGCATGTAACCGCGAGAGACTTGCCATTTTTTTCCTACTGGTTTGAAGTTGAAGGTGCTTATGAATCAATCATTAAGGAAAACCCCAAGGAAGAAGAAAAAGAAGTTTTATACCGCATGAGGATAGTCTGGCGGTCCGTACTTGCCGTTTTAGTTCTTAGTATTGCTGCCATTCTGGTCCTGATTCTGAATAATCATGGATTCTCTTTCAGCCACCCTCTTATAATCTTCTCAGTGTTCAACACCATTATTGTTGCTTCAATAGTCCGAAGCCACAAGTCGCCTGTGCATGAAACTGAGAGAGATATGCCCTTTTTTTCCAACTTGCATGAAGTAGAAGGTGTTTATGATCCAATCATCGAGGAAAACCACAAGGAAGAAGAAGAAGAAGAAGGTGATGTTTGTATTTCTAATGGTTATCATAAAGATGACCACGATAATGGCAGTGATGATGATGGAGATGGATATGATGAGAATCTAGAGAGAAAGGTAGAACACTTCATTGCTAATGTCACTGAGAGATGGAGGAAAGAGAGGTTGATGGAGAATGTAGGAAGGGCCGAGAAAATTGGCTATGAAGCATAAGCTTTTACTATCTCTGATAAATTGTCCTAAATACACCTAACCCCAACTGTTTATCATCTTCTTCCCTTTTTTTTTTTTTTAACTTTCTCTTCGACTGGCCAAGTTTGGTCACCAGACCCAGATCCAACTGGGTTTTTTTTTTAATGCGAACCCCGACTGTTTTTCTTGTAGGGACTATCATCAGTTTTGTTGACGGGAACCATATGAAGAACTATCAATGTTGAAAAGTGTATTATATTTATCTTACAATAAAAATAATATATAAAGTTTCTTCTTTTCTTTTTATTTTTTTTGTTTGTATTTTCCCATAACAATGAGAACCAGATTCAAAAATTATGATAAATTCAAAAAAATTCACAACCAGAGCAGGTGACATAAAAAAAAAAAAGAAAAAAGAAATAGAGATACAGGAGCAGTACTGCTCAGATTCAAAAAAACTGCATCAGGCCATCATTAACTTCAAGGCAAAAAAAAAAACCATCTTATGTAAAAACTGTAAAGTTGAATGACTAATGCCACATGTAGAAAAATAAATAAACTTAGCGAGTTAAGAAAACATACAAAGATTTAGTACTGCCTGTTGAGGTGTGAAAACAACATAACCTAACCAAGAATTGTTTCTGCACTTTTGCGAGGTGCATCAGGCTTAATACGGGTTGGTCTGACTATACGATCAATAAGCTCATATTCAAGGGCCTCTTGAGCATTGAAGCGTTTGATCCTGCACAAGTCAAAATAAGGCATGCATTCAAGAAGCTATTTGTTAAGAAATAAAACAGTTTATTTAACCTCTGGTCTTATAACAGTGTATTAAATATATATTTTTATTATAAATTTATATTAAAATTATAAAAATTAATTTTTAATTTATTTATTATCTAATTAAATATATTTAATATTAAAATTAATATTAATTTTTATATTTTTATAAAAAAAATATATTTAATACATTTTTAATCTATATTTAAAATGCATGTATAAGGAAAATCCATAAATAAATATGGTAGATATAAAATCCGCGTGACGGGTCAGTATGTCAAAGTCCGGCCCGATCCAGGCCACCCGGGTACCATATTTATTTGAAAATTAAAAAAAAAAACTGTTTTTCTTTCTATATCAGAGGATTATTTTTCTTTTTCCCCTGAGAAGGTCCATCGAAGAAGAGCAGAGTTTTGGTTTGGGGCGGTGATCGATTCGCAGAGAGAAAGGAGGCAATTTCAATTGCTTGGAGCAAAGGTAACAACCGATTCCTTTTCAATTCAATTGTCTGATCCTCTTTTCTGTCTGAATTCGTCTTTGATTGAATTCATTCATACAATAATTCTTAGATCAAAACCCTAATTTTCAATTTGTTGTTATGGATCTGATTTTCAAAACCTGAAACCTAGTTGTAATAAAATTCTATTTCATACTTAATTTGGAGTTCTCAACTTGATGCATCATATATTATTGAAACTTAAGTTCAAGTCTTATGAATTTTTGGCAGGTGGGTTTTTTATTTGAGCAATTATGGGAGGTCATGGAGGTTTAAATATTCTGCCTCAGAAACGGTGGAATGTGTATAATTATGAGAACAGAGAAAAGGTTCGGCGAGACGAAGAAGCTGCTGCCAGAGAAGAACAGTTAAAGCGTGAACAGGCGAGGAAAAGGGATGCTGAGTTCCGACTCGAACGCCTCCGTGCTTCCCGTGGATTGGCTCCTTTGGAGAAAGCTCCGGAGCCTGCTGAACACCCTGCAACTGAGCCTGTTGAATCAGAACCCAAGTCAGGGGGTCACATTAATCTGTTTGAAGGGATTAAGATTTTTGATCCCATTCAGGGCTTGGAGAATGAGAAGGGTGGTGAGAAAGATGGGTTCAAGAGGAAGAAGATGAAGAAAGAGGAGGCAGCACCAAAGGTTGTTGGGCCTGAGGAGGAGAAATATAGGTTGGGTTATGGAGTTGCAGGGAAAGGAGTTAAGTTGCCGTGGTATATGGAGAGGCGAACTGATGATAAGGAAGAAGAGAACGGTAAAGATGATGGATCATCTAGAGGGGCAAAGAAGGAGGTAAAGAACAGTGGGAAGAAGACAATACAAGAGTTAAGGGAAGAGAGATTGAAGAGGGAGAAGCAGGAGAAGGAGAGGGAGAGGGCATTGTTGTTAGAGAAGAGCCGAAGAGAAAGCCAAAGGAATGGGACTTTCTCTGTGCCTCTTATGAAGAATAGTGGGTTTTCCAGGAGGTGAGCTTGCCAAAGTTAAAAGTCTTTTGGTGTTGTGTATCATAGAAGACTTGTTAATTTTTGACAATATATTCTGTAAAAGTACATATGAATTTGATGCATTTGTTAAATTCAAATTTGATCGTTGGCTGAGAATTTGCATTTCTTTTATTCATCAAATTGAAGTTGCCTTTGCTACATAAAAAACAAGGACAGAACCAGTATAAGAGAATTAAGATTGTAGTTGTTTGTATCGCCTCCTGTAATTTCATAGAAGCTTAACTCAAGTAATCAACAGGAGGAAAGTGTACCTTTGTCCTATTTAGCTCCTTACGGCTTTTGGTTTGTGTTTGGTTGTCAATCCCAAGCCCAGCTTTTAGAACTCCTTGTCCATTTATGCCTAAATTGTTTTGACAGCTGGTTTTTAGAACCCTAGAGTTTTGAATATCTGTATTTGGACGCCTATACCAATCCTTGGCTGCATCTTGAAATGGCAAACACAAATCTTTAATTCAGTTGTGATTATAAGACTGAAAAAAAAAAAAGAAAAAAAAGAGGGGTCTAAAGTCTGCGTATGATTTCATTAAATTAGAAGATGTAGTTCGATGATTAAATTCCGTCTTGACTTGGAGAGGGCTGCTTACAAGTTCTGCAAGAATTTACAAGGCAATGTGCTTATGCAACCGTCATGCTGCCTTCATTTTCCTATGGTGGTTGAACGAAGAACATATGATTGCGACCCACATCCAATCCCAGAAATGTGCCAGATTTTCTTTAATTATTTTTAGCTTTATATTTATATATACTAATTATCATTTATGTTTGGTAAGCCGCCCTTGTTTTCAATCCCCTGTTCTTGCAACAGAACCAACGACAAAGTCGTCAGGGAACCTCTTACAAGTTACCATTTCAATAATATGTTTGTTAGCCATTGAAGAGGGATTAATGTATGATTTTGTCCATAACCCATTTTGTTGTTGATTTAGATAAACTAATTTATCTCATGCAGCTTTGTCGTATTATTCTAATCCCCACTTAAATACTAATTATATATTTAGAAAGGCTCATTAGATGAAAGGTTGCTGAGAACATGAAGCCCTCAATCAGATAGGACACGCGAGGCGCTTTGGTGGCCATATGCTTTTTTCTTTTGCCTGATTGGAACAACGATTCTGAGTAGTTAAACTTCCAGGGAGAGAGCAACTGTACGATTGTTTGAAGTCCGGATGCTGATGGGTAAACGGTTGAATTCATTTTCTTGATTCCAAATTTATGTTTTTTTTTTTTGTTTTGCTTCTGTAACAGCATCCATGCTTTGTTTAAGTACAGCTTTGTGATTGCATGGAATTTCACAGGCATATGATAAAATAGCAAGAAACAGGGTTTAGGAGCGTCGATTCATATCCGAAGCTTCTGTGTTGAGTTTATATGGCGGTATTGACTACAAACTCCCTCTTGCATCTTGAGGATCTGACTCTGCCCCAGGTAGGCTTCCGGCATCCCCTCTTCTCCGATTTCATGTTCATATTTTTCTCTTCCGGTTCCCAATCCTCCATTTTCTTGGTTGTCGATCCATCTAATCATTCGAATGGTTGATTCACAATGCATTCATTTTCAACATAGATCTCTTCCTCTAGCTTTCCGTTGTTTTTATGGAACCATTTTCTGATGTAAGGGAACGTAATACAGGCATCTCCAGCATTGATTTATTCATGTCATTACCATTTCATAAGAAAATATCCACACCCTTTAAGCCAAAGTGGGAACAGGAATGCTTAATCATGATGATAAAACAAAAACTCTGAACATGATATTCAAAGTGCTTCATTCTCAGTTTCAGGTCATAGTGATGACTGCAAACATGGGATGTGCTCAATGCCGAGAAAGGGTCAATGAAGTTATTTCCAAAACGACTGGTATAGAATTTCACACGCATAAACTAGCGTTTATTCTCCCATGATTAGAATTTTCAAAATTATACCAAAACCAGAAGAAAAAAATGAAGATGTTTTCAATCATTCATCTTTCTTGTTAAAATTTGCAGGATTAAGAGAGTACACTGTAGACATGTCCAACAGACAAGTAATTGTAAAAGCAGATTTGGGATTTGACTGGAATGAGAAAGATCATCCTTCTGAGAGAAATGGGAAGAAGAAGTCTCATCGATTAGAATTCTTTCTCAAATATTTCATACCTATGTGTTTGACAAAATAATTTGATGATTTAGAATTGTCTGCTCATGAACGCTGAAATTATCTGTCATTTATTTTGATATAAAACTCAGATCATTCCCTCATTACATCTCAAATTCTCAACAAACGTCTGGGGAGTAGAGAACAACAAAAAAACAAGGATTTCCCTACTCTACTTTCACCTCATACACGTCCTTCCTCTCCTCCTCCGTTACCTTGGGCACCACCACTTTCAGTACTCCGTTCTTCATCTCTGCCTTGATCTCATTCACCTTGTAGATGTTTGGAGGGAGTTCGAGCATGCTTGAGTACCTCCTTCCACTCTCCTCATTATCTGTTTCCCTGCTGCATTCACCTTTGATCATCAGGGTGTTCTGGTCGACAGAGACATTGACGTCCTCCTTGCTTAGCCCCGGCATGTCCATGCGAAGATTGAGTGCGTTATTGTCCTCCTTCACGTCCCATCCTCTCCTTGCGCCCATGCCGCAAGATGAGAAGAATGGGTTTCCCATGAATTGGTCCATTAGGTTCAGAACCTGGCTTAGGCTCCTTGTTGGAGATAATGGATCAAAAACATCTGAATAAGATGGAAAATTACATTAATTAATTATGTTGACACAATTCTAAATTCCCAATCAACACTGAAAAAATAATGAGTTACGTAGATATGACTTCAAATTTTATAATGTAAGAACTTCCCCTGCTTTCATTTCAAGAGACGAACAAAAACAGGGGGGAGAAAGCAACTACCAGAAAATAAACCAGGGAAGGAGTCGCGACGGCTAGAGGGATAGAGATCAGAGTGGCTTGTAACGTCGACCGCACGATCAACATCATCGCAAGCAGTGACCCCAGCTCTGGCTGCGAAAGAGCGAGACACCGAGGGAGACGCAGAGACGGAGCATACCGGATTCAGCAGCCTGGAGAAGAGAGTCGAAGCTGGAGCTCTCCTAAGGAGGATCAACGAGGCCATTTTTGTTTTTCTGCTATAAGAGGAAAAGAGGGGTGCGGAGCTGTTTATATGGAAGAGGGTATCATGAACAGAAGCAAACGTGGAGAAGGGGAAAGGCCGGGGAGTGGCAACTGGGAAGAGATAGAAGATAGGCCAAATGGCGGCGTGAGGTTCTTCTAGAACTTCGCAGCAATCCAGGAGAAAATAAATCCCCTGATATTAAAAGTAAAGTAGTGCTATTGAGATAATTTTTTTATTTTATTTTTTTATATGAATTTTACATATCATTAAATTCTCATAAATTAAAAAATACCTTAAGTTGTAAAAAAAAAATATGGCAAAATGATTATCCAAAATCCCAATAGCATCTCCCTTAAAATATTAATACATTAAATCATAGTCACAAAATATAATATAAAATTTCACTTAAATTTTTTACGTTATATAATTATAATTAAATGTCATAATCCTTTTTAATATTAAAATATTTTAATTTTATTTTTTTAATAAATTTCCCGTATTTAATTATTAAAAATATTTTAATTTTTTTTATTATCATTCATTGATATTTTAATTTTTAAAACATCTTAATTCTTCTTAATCTCATGATTTAAAATTTTAGATTTTTGAGAGAGCTTAGAGAGTTGATGAGAAGACTAAAAAGGTTAAATTCCTCGCAAATTCACCAATTCCACAGCTCATTTTCTGTTCTTGAGGTTGTCTGATGGATAGGTGGAAAATGAGGCATGCAGAAAGCAAGCTTTTGCGAGGACAGAAATTGTAGCAATCAAGGGTGTGTGTAAAATTATTAACAGTTTCTGGTATTCCCATTATCAAAATATCTCGAATTGAGCAGCAGGTGAGAGAAAGACGGCATTAAAAAAATAAAAAGATGACAGTCACTATTAAGTTACAGAAAGAATGAATGTTAACACAGGTAGGAGTGTACGATTAGCTGCTACAGATGCACGCCTCACCTCGACAAGTCTTTGCTAATTTCAGAAAACTAACTAATAAAAGCACCAGCATAGCTCATCAATTTCTCTTCACTTCAACACGATCCTCTAGACATTGTGGAAATTTTGCCAAAATGACAAGAGGATGGACAGAAGCTTATGTTTACTTCATGAGGTACCCCATGATTATGCCAAGCAAACCAATGAATATGACAAGGATGAAAGATACGCCACCACGGCTTTTGCTACCTTCACGCCTCAAGTGTTCCTACGTATTTTTAAATTTATAATGTCAGTTATCTCCAACACCGAACGAATACAATAAGGAGAGCTCAGTCAGAGCACAGAAAGATTTGGGGCAGCAAACACTTTACAAAGGTTTTATTGCATTTCATTTCAAAAACATCATATAAAAGGTTCAGGATAACAAGATGATTAAATCGTTAAACATCTCTTCAAATTCAGTAACAGAGGGGAAAAGAGATTGCAGGCTGAAGTCATCAAATATGGAGGGAGCAAAATGGACACAGAACCATATGAGACAAGCACTTGTAAATTAACAACAGTGTGATGCATTATTCCCAACTTTGATCCTTTTGCAAAAGGATATTTAAATACAGAAGTTTTTAAGTACAGCAAATTAATATGCCCACACATTCCTGAATGAAATATTGGCGACATTACAGATGAATGATGGGTCATTTAAACTGAAAAAATGAAGAAAAACTATATTGGAAATATCAGTTAAGTCTGCCAAGATATGTAATATATGTTACTGGGTTTATGCAAGTATCATTTTGAGAAGCAGAAAACCAAATGAAAGAAAATTTAAAAGAGAAAGAAGCATCCTACATTATCACTTGGCATCCTACCTAGGTTGGCTATAGACCATCGACCTCTAGGGAGCCATCTGTTCTTGTAGCTAAACTTCACATGTTTTCCTCATTTGCTTCAAATATTCAATATGTAAAAGATGCAAACAGTATTCACATGTATGTTAAGATGGTATCCCACACCCATTATTATACCCTTTTATCTACATTTTCTTCAACAACTTCTCTTTCTAATTTGCAAATCCTTAAAAAGGAACATCAAATGAACAATAATCTACGCATTAACAAAACAATAAAAGTATCAAATAAATAAAGATGAAGTCACAGCCAAATAGTCAAATTCCCTCACCAATTCCTGTCTAAGCTTGTTGTTTCGTTGAATTGCACTATGCTTTTCCTCGGTCAGCTTTGATATAAGATCTTTTAACTGCCATTGTGGTAAGTATTAGTGCAGTTATTATACTTGCAATTAGTGGACATGACAATAAATGTGCGTCCCACCATATCAGAGATTCAAGGATACAATAATGCAAAAGGTATCTATATGCACTCACTAATGGAAAAGGAAATGCAGAAAAAGTTAAATACCAAAACACACAAACACACAAACACACAAACACACAAAATCTGCCTGAACAATTGAAATAAGGCAAAAAGAAGTGTAACTGCAAATCATTCTTAAAAATACAACTTATATGGCAGCTTAATTTGCAAAGCCTCTAAACCAACTAACTGTGGCCTCTAAAATTACCTTTCTCCTAGAATCTTCACTAAAGCATCATCAGTTATTCATGTGTCAAAAACAAATGACAACAACTAATATCCCAAATCACTTAAATATGCCATCCGTAGCTATGGATATCAACCAGCAAAATACAGGCCGAACACTGGCCTATCAAAAGATCTATGAAGTAAGAAAGAGTCAATGCTTGGGAGAGCAACATTCTCTAATGACTTCCAAAAGATTAGCTCTATAGCTTATTAAAAAGAAAAATAAAAAAATTCACATTTTTTTATAACTGAATTGAAGAATACAAGAAAAAGAATATGCAGGTTATTATCTCCATCCATGAAAAATGACAGAAAAGCTACATAAATTAAAGTGAATTCAGAAGTACTATGTTTATTTGGATTTCTACCTCTGCAGACATGTCTCGAGGTTCAGGTAATATTCTTGGGGCCTGTTTTCAACAACACAAGGCATCATATCATTACCCTAGCCAAACAAGAAAAGGAGCAGAAGACAAGCAGTAATGCAATTGAATCCCACAAGAACTTACAGGAACAAATTCAAAACCGTTTCCATTTCCATTCCCATTATCTGACACAGAACCTCTAGGGGAAGACCCTTCTTCTGACCCTTCTGGAACAGGCGATGGTGGTTGAGGTGGAGAAACATAAACCACTCTCAATTTGCACTCTTCAACCACATTCCCTGACTCCTTATTAAACTAAAAAAATACAATTCCACATGTTATAGAGTGCACTGCTTTGACCTTAAAAACTCCTCTAATATCAATACTCAATAGTGTAACAAAATTACCATTTCTGCAGTGATATCCTTCACAGTGGCACCATCATGAGCTTTCACACTCTGGAGCAGAAACTTATCCCTGCATTGCATGTCCAGAGGAGCCTCCTTTTGTGCTTGCATGGTAACTACATCAAAACCAAGGTTTAGGAAATTAACAGCTCTGAAATATAATATAAACAGAGAACAAAATTATCTAATTAGCAAAACAATTGAAAAGAGTACCTATAACATCACATGTCGACCGAGGCATGACAATTCCAGTGTTCGGTCGAACACAGTACTTCTTCGGATTAGTTGTTTTGACCTGAAGATAAACGAACAACAATTTGAAAGATCCCCAAACATGTGAAATCCAAATCAACATTTTCCCATTCGTTTCGTTTCTTCGATGCTAAGTTTTTAGCTTCGAGAAACATCCATCCGAATCTACATTTCAAATTTCAAACACGAATCTCGTGCTTAATGCATTTATATATCTTCATATCCGAAATACACAATCCACATTACTCTCCTCTTGTAAATTTTCTCAGCAACCAAACAGAAAATTTCGAAATTATAGCACTGCATATCAAAATGAAAACAATAATAATAAAAACCGCGATTCGTCATATTCATAGGGAAATTGAGGGACGGTACCTTGAAAGCTATAAAATTATCAGTTTTATTCGCCAATTGAAGAGAACATGAGATCTGCTTCTTCAGCTCAACTAATGCAGGAAACAAAGCAAAAGATTAAAGAATTAAAAAAAAAAAAATCAAAACCGAATCAGAAGAACCCTAAAAATGGAAGACGGAAAGGCACACACAGGGAGAGGCAAGAAGAAAAGAGAGCAGATCGGCAAAGTACTTACAAGGGAACTTGAGCTCTAGAGGTTCAATGCCTAGAAGCTCTCCCGTGCTCATTTCGGAAGGGATCGAGGATCAAGATTAATTGCCTTTGGAAAAGCAGAGATGAAGAAGATCTGCGGAGAAGAGAAATCTGTCTTTTTTTCTTTTCTTTTTTTTGAAAACGAGATTCGGCGGAGGAATCGAGAGAGAGAGCAAAATAATAATGGGATTGATTGGGTTTTTCTTTATTCCTTTGTGTATGTACTCTAAATATATATTTTATTTCACTTTTATTTCTTTTCTTTTCTTTTCTTTTTTTTAGTGACGAAAACAGTGAATGTGCGTAAAAAAATGGAAAGGCATCACTTTGCCGGAAAATTAACTACCTTGTCTACCTATCGCGTAAAATTAGAGCAACTCTACTTCTTCTTCTTCTCCTTTCTTTTTTTTTTTTTTCCTCTCTTTTTTTTTAAGTTTTTTTAAAATTTTGTATATTTAATTATAAATTATATAAAAAATAT